AACGGATCGGATACGGAGCTCGTGAACGGACAGGATACGGATCAATCCGAATAATGTACTGCTATTTACTAAAAACGGTTCGCGTACGGTCCGTATGCGGTTCCTATTTCAACCGCGCGCGAACGCGGATGTTCCGTAACGGATTGTTCGCGAATCACCTGTGTTTATGGCATGCAAGGTGGTCATTTTTGGAAAATTGAAGCGTGGAAGAGGGGTTCCACCTTGCGTAACTGCAATTGACGTTGGGAATAGAAGAATCTGATGGTTTAAAGGTTCAGATTCAAATTTTAAACACGAAAATTTCGATTTTATTATAGCAGATGAACTTTGTTTTCAATTTCAGGGTTCATTTGAATGATTTGAAGATTACTAAGTTTGCAAACATATAGGGTACAGTTTTAAACGTCCCACATTGTATTGAATTTTTTTGAAAGCCAGATAGTTACTTTTTTTCGAAAAATAAATATGATAATGGACAGAAATATTTTTACAGAGGGAGTTACCGTTAACACTCTAATTGAAGGCCACCCAAACCTTAAACTTTAAGCTCAATTATCTGGCTTCCTGTCAAAGATATCAAAAGTGGCCAAGTGACAAATAGTTTATAATAATATCAGAATTATTTTGTCAGTTAACAATTTTGATATCTCTCACAGAAATCGAGATAATTAAGCTCAAAGTTGACGATTCTGGTGGGCTTGTATTAGACGCAATGCGGTATGTTCAGTCTTCATGGCCTTTTCAGATATTCATCTGGTGAAATTAAAAATAGTTCTTATAATTTCAACATGCGAAAGTCCCCCTAACATTTCTTCAAAGACCAATCAAACCATCTTAACTCTCGCATTTCTATTGTTAGCAACTTCCCTTACTATTCCTAGCGTTTCATATAAAACTCCTCCGCACTTTTAATCCTACTGTCCTGGAGGTGTTAATGTCACTTTTTTGTTTCTAATCAGCTTTAGACATATGATAAGAATAAGTTCATGGATTATATCAAGAAATGACAAAAAAGAAGAAGATGCAAATGGCACGTATTGTCCCATAATGTTAGCAAATAAGGAAAGCTGAAGAAGTTCGAAGGAAAAATGTAGAATTTAAAGAGGCTTAAAACATGAAAAGGATAACAAAATGTTCATAAAGTAGAAAGTCCGAAGTGTAAGATCGTGCTGAGATAATATCTGGAATCTACGAATCCAAGCTATACACGAAGAGATAAAAAAACTGGAAAATATGGAAAATTGTGTCCCCCAGCCATCACACGCATATTCTTTAGCCTTTGGGATTGAAACCGAATTCGAAAAATGAAAAATGAAGCCGGCTTATTGTGGAAAAGACACAGAGAGGGCAGCTATTTAGACAGGATTGTCGAACCGGGTTTTGTGCGATTAACCTCTCAATCTGACTGTTGGGGGCAGAAATGCCTCCTCTACCTGGCTATGGAAATTTCAACAACAGAGAGAAAAAGAGACAGTCCGTATGCTTTGTAATTACGGTTTTGCGGATATGTGGATGGAAGGGTGAATAGAGAGGAAAAAGAATTGGATAATGTGGTGTCTGCCAGAAAAAGACGGAGGAGAGAAATTAGGAGAAAAGAAGGGAAAGTACACCGACATGGAATGATACAAATTGGAAGTGAAATGTTACAAAAATGGCGTTTGAACTTTTAATAGAATAAGCTGGGGAAAAGCTGAACGATCGAGAATTGTATGATTTCTGAACAGCCGAATTTTCAAGACATGACGGCGTCAGAAAGCTGGTCGTTTAGATGTTCTAACTGCTGCAATGTATGAAGATTGTCATAGACATACAGGAATATTTATACGAAACCAGCAAAAAAATAACACTTGGAAATTTCAGTGGGAAGTGATTATTTTCAAAGCACTGAAAAACAAGTTGAGACTTTTCTAATCCATCTGAAAATTTCAATGATTTTTACCAGTCGGTTTAGGCCCCTTCGGGGCTAAACCTCCTGGCTTCTGGTCGCCCTCCACCCTTTCTGCCCACCACCCTTTACGAGGTGAAACCAAGGAACGTCTCCAGAAGACTCCAAAATCAAACTTTCGACAAACCTAAAGTTCGGGCATCAACTAAGACACAATTCTGATCTATCTGTCCAGGTTTCAGCATGATCGGTTAACTTTGAATGGGTGATAAGGTGCGCTACATACATACGCACATACAGAATCTGGTGAATGTTATTAGTAATGATGCCGTAAAAGCTAACTCATAAAAATTGAGAAGAAATGAGAATAGAGAAGTTTACTGTGGGATAATTGGTCGGACTGATAAAAATGGGTATATCTTTAGACATAAGTATATTGAAAGCACGAAAGTTGGTAGAAATAAATTTTTTAAGTTGGATTCAAAGCTACTGATATTTTAAAAGCAATTCCTCAAGGTCAGGTATTGTTATGATTGTTCAAATATGAAATGTTTCTTGCATGCCGTTGTCATTTTCAGGAGATGAAGCAACTTTGACAAGCGACAACTCAGCTCAAAGACCATAAAATAATTTGAAACTTCGCCAGTTTACTGATGAATTATTTGAATTTTTGCACTCCAAATTTCAGCTAAACACAACGCTCCACTCAAAGTTTATGCTGGTACAAACTTTAGTCTTGGTTTAGGCCTCCCTGAATTGCTAATTTTTTTCCAGATTTTTCGCAATTATTTTTTTGCAAATCAAAATTTCATTTTACAACTGATTTCTTCCTTATCAGACCCAAAATCTGTAATTCAAGACTGATTCTCTCGTCTTCTGACGCATTAAACCTTCTTATAAATGACAACAAAAAAACGCAAAATTTCAAAGTTGATATCAGTTTTTCCCCCCTCGAACCAATGATTTTTCGAACGATATTTCTTCTCATTGCCGTTTCCCTCGTACCATCCTTCCAAGAGGGTACCTCTACTGTAACTACCGATAGTACAACTTCTGGACCATCGACGACTTCTGGTCCGACATCATCTACCGGTGCACCGTGCCAAGATGATCCGAATACAGATTGTACAAATTTCAAAAGCTACTGTACCAACTCTAAATACATTCCAATGTTGAAACAGTTCTGTCCAGTGACCTGTAACATGTGTCCAGGAGCCACAACTGCAGTACCACCAACTGCCAATCCAAATTGCCATGATTCTAGCACTAAGTAAGTTCTTAAAGAAATTTTTAGAAATAATGGAGGCCTTTTTCAGTTGCCCCAATTGGGTTAAAAATGGATTCTGCACCAACTCATTCTACAAGTGCGCCGATCGCATCAAGTACTGCCAGAAATCATGTGATTTGTGTACACCTGGATCCTGCAAAGATTCTGATAGTGTTCTTATTGAGGTTAATGGAGAACCAGATTTCGATTTTCATGTTTCTGAGTAAATAAATTGATGATTATAATGGGATCATTCAGTGAAAAGCAAATCAGAAAATTGCTGATTTTTTCTTATGCAGAGGGGTCCCCAATTTCTTTTTCTTCTACATACATATCTTCATTCTGTTTTGTTCACCTTCTCAATTTCACAACACCATTTTGAAGCTCGTTTTGTCCTGAGATTAAAAACGAACTCAGATTTCACTTCGCTCCACCCATTTTGATATATCCGACGCGTTGCGGTCGTGCGTTGCGTTTTTTAGATCCTCTGTCAGAACGTACTTCTGGGACATTGTTTTCACATGGACATCCCTTTTGGCTACATCTAAAACTGTTAGCTACCGTACCCTTACTCAAACTCTGTCCTCATGGCATTCATTCTCTTTTCTTCTTCTTTTTGATGTGGGATTCAGAGATAAGTTCCCACGCTGCCATGTTGATGTATCTATGACAACAACGCGCTTTGTTTGATTAAATCCTGCGCTTCATGGAATGCACCGCCCGAGTACTTGCCTCGTGATCCTAATCCGTTGGGAATAATGTTTTTCTGGCCAAAAAAAAAATTTTTCCCATTTTGCCCGTTTTTCATTCGATTTTTTTGGATTAAAATTCTCTATCGATGTGTTTTCAGTAATGCCAAGAAGAGCTCGGAAAATTGATAAGAAGGATCAAGAGATTGCCCAATTAAAGGAACAACTAAAGCAATGGAAAGTGGAAGCCGCGAAATCGAAAGCTGAAGAAGGAATAACGATTCAAATGTTGGACTTGGAGAAAATGCTTCATGGAGTCACTAAAGCAAGGTGCAAATGGTTCAAAGATGCAATCGAAAGGCGTGGACCTGTGGTCGACAAACTGAATGACCATATTCTTAAATTGACCGCAGATTTGAGTCTCTTCAAGTCAGGATCAAAGGAAAGAGAAGCTAAAAGACTCATCGATAAAGAGCACAAACTGGTCATAAAATACAGAAAGAAGATGTTAGAAGCTCAGGCGGTGGTTCGCAGACGCCAAGAAGTGAGCGAGCAGGAGAAAAAGCCGTGGAGATTCTGTGAGATATGTGACATGGAATTCCAGTATACAGGGCTCAAAACTCCTCGTGTTCTATGTAGGTTTTCTTTGTTTTTTCGATAAATAACGATTCTATTTTTAGTTTGTGGACACACTTTCTGTCAAGAATGTCTTGTGAAGATTGCTAATGTCATCGAGGTTAAATGTCCGTTCGATAGCAGATGCACTAGAGGATATGAAATGCACAAGCTCCCAAAGAATTTCGCCGTCCTTCATATGTGATGAAGTATTCTGAATCAACCAAAGCATCAAGTGTTTTTTGCCGGAACCTATCACAACATTTTTCATACCGAGAATTTTCTTTTTTTTCTAAAAACTATCTTTTATTGATTGATTGCATAGTTTTTATACAAACTGAATCCAGCATGAACTATGTATTAGTATTTTCTAAAATAAAAGACGCTCTTTTATCATGTATGCTTGGTATAAGCCATTTAGCCGGACAACCCCTACTCAAATTCTGTCCTCATGGCATTCGTTCTCTTCTCTTCTTCTTTTTTGATATGGGATTCAGAGATAAGTTCTCACGCTGACATGTTGATGTATCTATGACAACAACGCGCTTTGTTGGATTAAGTCCTATGCACCGCCCGAGTACTTGCCTCGTGATCCTAATCCTTTGAGAATAATTTTTCTCTGGCCCAATTTTTTGACTTTTTTGGGTGTTTTTACTCGATTTTAGTTTTCTTGGGTTTACATCTATTTCTCTGTCGATGTGTTTTCAGTGATGCCAAGAAGAGCTCGGAAGGTCAACAAGAAGGATCAAGAGGTTGTTCAATTAAAGGAACAACTCGAGCAATGGAAAGTGGAAGCCGCGCAATCGAAAGCAAAAGAAAAAGAAGCGGTTCGAAAATTGAACTTGGAGAAACGTCTTCATGGACTCGCTATTTCAAGGCGCGAAAGGTACAAGGATGCATTTGAAAGGCGTCAAGCCCTTACCAGCAAGCTGAATGCCCGTGCTCTAAAATTGAACGCAGATTTGAACCTCTTCAAGTCCTGCTCAGATGCAAGAACAGCTAAAAGACTTGTTAATGAAGAGCACAAACTGGTCATAAAATACAAAAAGAAAATGTTAGAAGCTCAGGCGGTGGTTCGCAGACGCCAAGAAGTGAGCGAGCAGGAGAAAAGGCCATGGAGATTCTGTGAGCTATGCGACATGGAGTTCCAGGATACGGGCATCAAAACTCCTCGAGTTCTATGTAGGCTTTTAATATTTTTTGAATATTGAACAATCCTTATTTTTTCAGTCTGTGGACACACTTTCTGTCAAGAATGTCTTGTGAAAATTGCTGGTGATCATATCATCAGAAACATCATCGATACTATCAACGTTAGATGTCCATTCGATCGCAGATTCACTAGAGGATTACCAACAGAAATGCACAAGATCCCAAAGAATTTCACCGTCCTTCATATGTGATGAAATATTCTGAATCAACCGAAGCATCAGTTGTTCATATTCTTTTTCTTCTCCTTACCCAGAATCCACTATTCTTTTAAAGTCTATCTCTTTTTTCTGATATCAATCTTATATTCATTGATCACAGATTTAATTATAATCATTAGAAATGTTTCTATAATAAAGGAATCAAATGATTAATTTTTGAAAGTTTTCATTCACAGGTAAGACGGGGTTGCCGAAAAGCGTACCAACGGCGGCTGAAGATTTGAGAATTGGCTGTAACTTGCGTATTTGAGAAAATGAGGGAAAATGTGTAACAAAATGTATGAAATGCAGTTATTAGTGATCCAACCATAATGAAAAAAAAACTTTGATTCTTCGTAAATTTTTCTTGAAGGGGCTCAGGTTCTTTTTATGCATTTATAGAATATTTGCCCTTAATTTTCTGAAACCGTTTTCTCAACTTTTCCATATTTTATTCCCTTCGAAAAACCTAACTCAGAATGGAAAAACTTTACGTCCGCTTCCCCCAAAAATCGATTCTGAGAGAAAGAGTAGACAAACGCACGAGGCGCATCCCTCTCTTCAGACTACAAGTGCGCTCTACGGCTAAGTTCTGCGAAGAAGGTCCTGGACCGAATGGAACGCCTCGCTTTTTTCTTATTAATCGATTTGGAGCATTTTTTCCATATTTCTAATGTTTCAGAAATGGCTCGAAGAGCAATTTAGGGTAAGAAGAAGCCAAAGATAGCTGATCCGGTTTCACAACTGGAGAGATTGAGAAAAAGGTACAAGACGTTGGGAGAGAAAATGAAAAGTGAAAAATGAAAAAATGAGTGCATGCGAGAATGTAATTTAAAAGAAATGGAGCATCGACGAGTTGTGATGGAAGAGTTGATGGATAAGATCAATGTGTTGAGAAGAGAATTTGGAGACACGAATGCGAGATTAACTGAAGATGTAGAATTCGCAACAAATAAAAATATAAAATTGGAAAGAGAAAAGAAAGGAAGAATATTGGAAATTATGAGAAAAGACCAGAAAATCCTTCGACTCCAGGCGAGTGTCAGCGATGAAAAAATAGAGAAGTTCATTGAAAAAGAGCATAAGAAGACGGATGTACTGCATAAAAGTATTATGGAAGCACATAAAGAAATTCTGATAAGACAAGAAGAGCAAGATGGAGAATTGAAGCCGTGGAGAAAATGTAGAATCTGTTTTGAGGAATATGAAGAAGAGTTGGAGCATAGTCCTCAGGTTCTCGGTAAGTTATTTTTGAAGGATTCCGTAGATTTCCGTAGAACGATGGGGTAATTTTTTTCATACTACTCAGACAAGAGTAAAGTTCCCGCCGGCGTGTTAAACGAAGTTCCTGCCGCAGGGCAGCGGCGGGAACTTTTTTTTCAGCTTGCCGGAATGAACTTTCCCGCCGGCAGGTAAATCCCATTTACTCATCCTCCCTTTTTCAGTACATTTTCACAAACAAAACAAAATGTAAATTCAGTTGAATTTATTAAAATTGAAACTTTCTATGTCTACAAATAAGGAAATCTATAGTTAGATAAAATCAAAAACATAAATTGGGCATAAATTAGTGTCTTAAATATCAAAAAATAGGAAAACGGATGTGACATAAATTGCGGGAATTATATACAATTTTATTGTACAAAATTACTAGCTGGTTATTTTCGATTTTAAGGAAAATTTCGAGTTTAAAAATTTTTTGGATTTTGAAGAAATCGTTGAATTTTAGAAGAGTCAGGAAACTTTGGACTTTAATGTTTCTCAAGATCTTGTGCACAATTTTTTTTCAAAATCCAAATTTTTTTAAAATCCAAAATAATCAACTAGAGCCAGAACATTATTTCGTCTTACAGAAGCTCACCCAAATCGTAAACCTTAAGCCAATTTTTCTCAGATCCTATCAGAGATATCAAAATTTGTTGAACTGATAAAATATTGGTGGTATTATGCATAGTTGCGAAATCCCGGGCCGGCCCGCGGGTCGGCCCGTCGAGAATTTTGGCGGGCCGGGCCAAGAAAATTCGTCTACCGGCCCGGCCCGGCCGGCCTTTTGCAACTATGATATTATGATAAGTCATTTATCAGTTGACACATTTTTGGTATCTTGGATAAGAATTGAGATAATTGAGCTGGAACTTAACTGAGTGTGAGTCCTTCTATTACAGGTTTTACTGTAAATTGATTCCTGTAATTCTCAATTTTTGCAGAATGTGGTCATACTGTCTGCTACCGATGTCTCTGGAAAATGGCCGACCCAGATGGTGTATTGTGTCCATTCGATCGTATCACCACTATTTGTAGAAAAAGAAACCTGCGTCTTCTCCTCAAAAATTTTGCCGTTCTGCAAATGTAAAATTTTCTATAATAATTTAATTTTCCACCCTCTACTTGCCTCATCTCAAAGATGTTTTCTGTAGATTTTGTGTCTTATAAGGCTTTAAGGCAGCCTTTGCCATTTCGCCTCTGTCTTCCCCGTTTCCCAAAAATTGTATCTTCCGGTTCTTGTATTATCTATCTGCCTTAGTCTAATGTAATTTAATAAATAGTTTTTTTTCAAGGTTTCCTTTTCTTTCTGAAAACAGATTTTCAAATTGAGATAAGATTCCAAAAGACTTCTGGAAATTGTGAGAAAACACTTTTCAGTTTAAATGAGGGGTCACAATAGATTTTCCAATATTACTCGGAGTTTGGATTCAGGTTCGTGCGTTCGAAAAAAAGAATTAGCAATGTGTAGCGCATCCGAAGCTTCCTGGCAGTGGGCAGCATCTTCCTTCCAGCATCAAGCATCCGACGTCGTCTTCCTTGTTGATCCTCTGCGAAACCCGGTGATCCTCGTCGAGCTTCGAAGTAGAGAGGCCAGTTGTCGCTGTAGGATCGGATGACTTGATTAGTTCTCTTCATTTAATTTTTGAAAAGTATCAAGTCTACAGTAACCCCTTCTTCCTAAAAATTGATCTACCAGATTTTTGATCTACATCGCATTTTTGGAGGGATTCTTTCTTCATGCCGGGAAAAATCCTGTACACTGGACTTCAAAGAACGCTTCCATTTTTTCATTTTTTTATATGTTCTTTGTCAGATTTCTAGACTAGTTTTTTTTTTCAGTCATGGCACCAAGAAAGAAGCAGCAAGTTCAAAAACCAACAATTAAAAATGATCAAGTGCAAAAGTTGACAAAGGAGAAGAAGGAGTTGGAGCAAAAATTGAAAGGTATTTTAGAAACTCGGAAATTCCGTAAAACCTGTAATAGAAGGGCCCCCTAACTTCGAACTTTGACCTTTTTCTCGGTTACTGTAAAAGTTATAGAAAAATTGCCCACTGAGAAAATTTTGATAATGTTATGATAAACAATTTTTCAATTAACAACTGTTTTCTATCTTTAATGAGAAACGAGAAAATTGAGCTCAAACTTGACAGTATGGGGGCCCTTCTATTGCAAGTTTTAAGGTGATTCAATTACAAAATTTTTGTAGAAGCGCTAAAACAAGTTGCTGATATTCAACAAGAAAATGAACAACGACGAATCGAACTTTTGGGGACATACCGAGAAATGAGGCGAGAGTTTGATAACCGAACCAGGCAAATTGTACAGTCAATTGAGTCGGTTAATAAAAGTTTGAAAAACGCGGAGGGCAGAGCTCAAAAAACCGAGAAGCAACGGCAAATTTTGATGAGAACAAAGTTGGAACAAGAACAGAGAATCGCTTTTCTCAACGACTGTCTTCACGAGAAAAAAACGCATAAGATGGTGGAGGCTGAACGTAGAAAGACAGAAATGAGTCGGAAGCAGATGTTGAAAGCACAGAAGGAGCTTCGAGAAATTCAAGAAGGAAAAGAAGGAGTCTCGAAACCATGGAGACAATGTGAAATCTGTGGAGAAGACTACACTGAGCGAGCTCTACACATGCCTCGTGTTCTCGGTGAGTCTCAATACGGGGTCTGAAAAAGAGGTTTCATTGAAAACATCTGAAAATCCTTAGCTACAGTTTTAGAAAAATGCCTGGGCTATTCTCGTGCTTATGACATGTCTTATTAAGGCACAGTATATGTCCATAAGATATACAAAAACGTATTTTTCAGTTGATTTTAACCATTTTCAGAAGTATCGGCTTTCAAGTGTCCGATCACTTGGAAAATTCTGGAGGTTATACAACAGACCTAGATTGAAAACTTTACATTTATTGAATTTTTGGAAGGTGTCCTTCAGAAATCGGCAAATAGCTCAAAAACTAGAAATTTTCAAAAAATTCTGTGAATGCAAAGTTTCCAATCTAGATATTACATCCTCCAAAATTTTCTAAACGATTGAAAACTTGACAGCCGAGCCACAGACTCATGAAAATGGTCGAAATGGTCAACAAGCAACTGAAAAATATGTTTTCGTATACCTTATTGAAAGGTACTGTACATCTTCAAACCATCAAAGTTGATGGCTTTCAACTAGAATAATTATTGTCGAATTGAAAAACAGGGAAAGTGGAAGCCTAGCGGGTGGCTCGCGGGCTGTCGATTTACGAAGTGGTGCCCAAAACAATACCGTATAAAGCGCAATTAATTTCTGTAAATTTAACAAGACTTTCAGTACAAAATTTCGATTTTTTGGTAAAAATAAAATCCCTAGCATCTCCAGAACTTGTTTTTTTTTTGAAAAACCAAGCTTAATTTCGAAAATCGATCACACCTTTTGCCGAGACGCCTCGTAGATCAAAACAAGCTTTCAGAGGGCAAGGTTCCTTTTTTTAATTCAGAAATATTGTAACATTCAGATATCCTAATGTTCTCTGAATTCAGACCTTTTTTATTTTCAGATTGCGGTCACACCTTGTGCCAAACATGCATCAAAAGATTGGCTGGTGACGAAGGAGTCCATTGTCCATTCGATCGAGAAGTCACTATTATCCAGAAATCACGGATCAATACTCTTCCAAAAAATTTCGCCGTTCTTCACATGTGAATCCTCATCACTTGGCTCGTTCTATAACTCTAATTCTCTCATCTCGCTATTAATTTCAAATGTTGACATTAATTTTATACCCAGAAAGATTGTGAACGAGTTTCTAATGGGTTTTTAAATAATAATTGAATTCAACTCATAATAATTTTTAATAAAGATGAATTCAATCCAGAAGACGTTTTAGATATTGTTAAGTCATCAGAAACACCGTAAAACCTCTAATAGAAGGGTCCAGACTTTAAACTTCAGGCCAACTTATCTCGGTGCCTGTCAAAGGTACCAACAAGTTGTCCACTGATGAATCGTTGATCATAATATCCCAAACATTTTATTAGTTGACAAAATTTTGATATCTTGCATAAGAGCCATGGAAAATAAGCTCAAACTGTGGAAGCTCTTATTTGACAGGTTTTTCAGTATGCTTAGTGCAAATTAAAGCTCTATATATTTCTAGCAATTTTGAATTAATCTGACAAAATATAATAATTTTTACAGCCAGATTATATCATGTTTCCTGCTAATATCTTCTTTATTTAATTTAACATGCGTTGGCTATTCCATTTGCCTTAATGTGAAGATCAATGTGCCTATTTCCGACGGCTTCAGGAGAAGTGCGTCTTCTAATGACAGAGTTCACGCTCTCTTCGTATTTCCTGTCCTTTCTTTTTTTTTGCTTAATTTCCTGGACGAGTGCTCCAAGTGAAAAGAGCCCTCGCGAATCGATAGGATAACTCATGGCAACGGAAGGAAATGTCTCCTGGGAAAAATTCTGCTTCACACTCACTTTAACTTGTTATTTGTTTGAAATACATGCTTCCTTCGATAATGAATTCAATACGATTAGAATAATAATTTCCAGATATGGCATCACCAACAACGTATCTTTGTTTAATGGAGGTCGAGATGTTGAGAGGGCGAATTTTGGAGCTGGAGATGCAGGTGAATGGTGAGTTTTGTGTCTAGATTTTAATATATATTTGCACCTGTTTTGTTAAAGAGCACAACCGAAGAGAGACAGAGGACAAGGCCAGACACTTTGAAGAAGCAGAGCGACGCGAGAAGGAAATGGAGACTAGGTACAGGGATAAAATTGATAAACTTGAAGAGAAATTAGAAGCGAAACAACTGAAAAATAAGCATTTGGAAAACAATTGTCTGCGTCTGATGGTTGAAAATGATGCGTTGAAACGGGAAAATACAAAAACGACGGTGGAAATGAAGAAAATTGAAACAACGGAAAATGGAGAAGCAGCGAGAAAACTTTTGGAAGATGAACAGAAGAAGACGTCAGAGTACAGAAAGAGAATGCTCTACGCACAAATGAAGCTGCGAGAGAAGCAAGAAAACGTAGAAGGAGACGTGAAGCCGTGGAGATTGTGTAACATCTGTCTTGAAGAATTCAGTCATCTTTCGGAACATAATCCGAAAGTTCTCAGTGAGTCATGAATTTCGGTAAACCCTGTAATAGAACCCCCCCCCCCCACACTGTCAAGTTTGAGCTAATTTCTCTCGGTCCTTGTGAAAGATACCAAAAGTTTGTCAATTTATAAAATATTAGTGACGTTATGTTAAATAACATGTCAGTTGACAAATTTTTTCCATCTCACACAGGAACCGAGATAATTGAGCTCAAATTAGAATTGCAATTTTCAGACTGTGGACACACATTATGCTTCTCATGCTGTAATCAGATCTGCTTGGCATACGGAATCGCTTGCCCTTTCTGCCAAAAACTGTTCATTATAGATAAAGAAGAGCTTGTTAACTTACCAACAAACTTCATCGTTTTGCATATGTGATGAGCCAATGTAGTCGTAATCTACCTTTATTCTAATTGGTTCCTCTTATTTTCTTATTCTAAAACTTCTCATTTGATGTGTGAAACTAATCCCTCACTTTTTACAATAAGTCTGGCTTTCATCATGATTTCTAATAAATTTATTATCACCCCAACAGCCTTCATATACTCTAGCTCTACAGTAATCCAAGTTTTCAGAAGTTTTCCGCCACAAACGTTAGAAATTGGTGACGCACAACTACCCGGGCTGATAAAAACAGGTATATCTTTAGACGCATGTATTTTGGAAGCACGAAAATTAGTACAAATATAATTTTACGTTTGATTCAAAGCTACTGAATTTTTTAAGCAATTCCTAAAGTCTATGTGTTGTTATGATTGTCCAAAGATGAATGAGATGAAGTAAATTTGACAAGCGATAGCTCAGCTCAAAGCTGATCGAATAATTTGAACTTCAACCAGTTAACTGATGAATTATTAGAGTCTTTGCTCTCCAAATTTGAGCCCAGTGCAACGCTTTTCTCAAATTTTATGCTAGTACTAACTTTAGTCCTGGTAATTACGCGCCACCCTGTATTTAGTTTTATAATTCATGGCATACACACTAGATACACAATTGGAAGAGAAAAAGAGACGGAGAGATGGCCGACGTCCCTTGCGAAAGTTAGTCCTCCTATTGCGTCCCACGATTCTTGTTGGACGCAAATTGAATATATTTTCTTGTTTTCTGTTGTTTTTCATAGATTTTCTTCAACTTTTCTTCAGATTTCTGTCAAGAACTTTGATGGAAACAATTAGGAATACAACTAGAAAAACATTTTGAGTGGTTTTCATAAGAACTGTTGGGTCGGTATTGATTTTCCGAAAGTCGGTTGAAAAACTCTTTCTTTTAGTTTGCGATTATGTTTTTGATCGGAAAAAAGAGCCCTGGTAGTCAGCTAGAATTAAAAGTTCTTTTTCCCTATTTCTGAACTTTTGGAATATTAAAATCGTCGGACATTTATGGAAGATCCGACTTTTTGAAAAAAAAAAACTTGGATCTACTGGATCCCTTCTACAGGATAATTATCTCTTGGTTTATAGAAAACTTGGATTTCAAAGAACATTTAATAATAACAAGAATTTTTCGAACCCATGTTTTACCGCAATAAGAAACACTTCTACTCTCTGCGTCTCTTTTCTCTCTCTCTCTTCTTCTCCTTCTTTTTATTATGAAACGAACAAAGGACGCTCAATGTCACCAGACGTTCATAATGTTCAAAGAAGAAGAAGAAGAGATATTATCTAGCAAGCTTAAAGTTTAGGAACTATCATGTTTTTTGGCCAGAAAAATTCTGAATCCGCATCGAGGAATTTTTAAGCTTCAGGAGCTAACGATGACTAGCGTCTAGAACAATATTATGTTTAAAACAACCTAATTAGTTCCAAACAACAATCGAATAATTTTTTACTAATTTTCAAATTCTCGACAAATCCAACACTATCTTATCTCCTATACTGGGTCTTATCTTGATCCAACTAAAAACTTTATGTATCTTACCAACTTGGATTTACGATAGATAAACCAATACTGGAATATCTTTTTGATTGATTTTCGAAATCAATAAGTTCTTTTTCTGTTCTGAGGACAGATCTGCAAAAGTCAATAATTGTTTTTTCTGTTCTCTCTTCTTTCCCAAGATGCCTCCAATAGCATCTGCTGACTCACTATTGCATGTTCGCTCTATTGTTTCGTCGAGTTTCGAATACCAGAACCGTTCCGTTCGACATTGATTTATTTTTTACCTATTCTCGCGTTGTATTATACTTGCTTCTTTTCCGAATGAAATCATCTCTTCAATGTATCTTTTATAATTTCAGGTAATGGCACCAAAACGTAAAAGTGCTCGAATTGCCGCAGCAGCACTGGTGGTAGTTCCGAAGGTGACTATCCCGAAGGCTAATGATAAATCTGCAACTGCGGAAATTGCGAAATTGAAGAAGCAACTAGCAAGAAACAAGACGGAATCCACGACTAAATTGCACCGAGCTCAATGTGATTTGGAGTATGCAAGAGATGAGTTACAGAGAAACAAAATGCAGCATAAACTGGAATCAGAAAAGAAAAATGAGGAACTTGCAACGCTGAAAACGGAGAAACAGGCATTGACTAACGAAATTAAGCATTTCAAGAATTGTAAGGATACGAGGAAAGCATATGGAATAGTGCAGGCAGAGTGCAAGAAAGCAGAACAGAGCCGGAAAAGAATGTTGGAAGCACAATCGCTTTTGAGAGCCGAGCAAGAGAAAAAGTTCAAAGAGGCTAAACCATGGAGACAGTGTGAGATCTGCACTGAGGAGTTCACAGAGACGGGCGCACGATCTCCACGTATCATGTGTAAGTGTTTTTGAACATTTTGAAACCAAAGAGATGGGTTAGTAAATATGAGACTTAAATGACGCCGTGGAAATTTCAAGATCGCTCTGTTCTCGTCAAAGAGGGCCGCGGTCTTCCTAGTCCAAGGCCACTGTGCGCGCTTTTTTTTCATGCAATTTTTCAAACTTTTTCGCCTTCTCTGGTCGTTGTTTTTAATTTAAAAAAAAGAATTAATGAATAGCATCATAAAATAGCGCACACAGTGACCTTTGACTAGGACTTCCGCGACCCTCGTGGACGAGAACTGAGCGGGCTTGCATTTTTGACGGCGTTTCCAAGTGATATTTTGAAAATAAAAAAATATACGAAAAAAAAATAATTGAAAAAATTTTTGGTCGGAGTTCCTTTAAATTTTTTTTCAAAAATGTAGGTCACAAGAGCAATCAACTCTTGCACCTTAGAATTGAAGCAGTCTTCTGGAAGCATGTAATTCAAAATCTCATTTAATCTAAATACCATTTCAGCCTGCGGACACACTTTCTGCCTCACATGCCTCGAAAGCATGAAAGAGACATACTTCAGAACACAAATCAGATGCCCAACTGATAGAAAATACATGTATTGCAAGGATGGAGATCTCACGAAGCTTCCTATCAATTATCTAGCTCTTCACATGTGAATTCTGAATCTTAATATCTTCTTCTTCTTAATGTGCAATCCACCCGCTCCATCCCCGACCCATCAAAACCTCAAAGCCCATTCACTAAGCTTTTTCATGCGCCTTTCTGAGATTTCTCCAATGCTTGTTTTGAAATACGAAGTTCATTTCCTTTGATTTCTTTTTTTTCCAAAAATTGCCTTTTTTCCATTCCATCGAGTTCCAATTTCTTTCTATCATAGACACCATCTTCCTCTTTAGATTCGATGCTCTCATAATAATTGTTGTCTTATTTTTTCTTGATTTTTTGAAACTCTTGATTGACAAAATAAATAAAAATGCTCACAAAGCAGAAATATTTTGAAACTATCAGAATAAAAACTGGAAAAGGCCTAGTTTAACAAATACAGTAATCCTTTTTCCCATGAGAACAGGTATCCAAAAGTCAATAGTTTTTTTCTGTTCTTCCTTCTTTCCCAAGATGACTCCAATAACATCTGCTGTCTCACTATTGCATGTTCGCTCTATTGTTTCATCGAGTTTCGAATATCAGAAACGTTCTGGTCGATATTGATTTACCTTTGGCCAATTATCGTATTCTATTATACTTATTTTTCCAAAAATCTTCTCAATTTATCGTTTTTTTTTAAATTTCAGGTAATGGCACCAAAACGTAAAAGTGCTCGAATTGAAGCACAGGCTGCTGTTCCGAAGGTGCTTGTTCCGAAGGCTAATGATAAAAAAAACGGCTGAGATTAAAAGGTTGAAGAAACAACTAGCCAGAAACAAGACGGTATCCACGACTCAATTAAACAAAGCTCTCTCGGATTTGAAGCTTGCGCAATATGAGTTAAAAAGAAACAAAATGCGGCATGCATTGGAATCAGAAGAGAAAGATGATGAACTTGAGATGCTGAAAACAGATAATCATGCATTGGAGAAAGAAATTAAACAATTCAAGAATTGTAAGGATACCAAGAAAGCAACGGAAAAGATGCAGGCAGAGTACAAGAAAATAGAACAGAGCCGGAAAAGAATGTTAGAAGCCCAATCGCTTCTGGGAGCTGAGCAAGAGAAGAAGTTTAAAGAGGCCAAGCCATGGAGACAGTGTGAGATTTGTACTGAGGAGTTCACAAAGACGGGCGCACGATCTCCACGTACCATGTGTAAGTGTTATTGAACTTTTTTGAATTGAATAGTTGGGTTAAGATTTATTACTTATTACTTACTATCAGGAATTATGAAATGTGAGCCTGTCCATTAGAAAGTCACGAACTCTATGTATAGGGTGCCGCATAACTATCCTAACGAAAGTTGGAACTATCATAAAACTGGAGTAAATTGCTGTACTGAGCTCAAACTTGCAGCGCAAAAATTAAATTAATTCATTAATAAACTGGTCAAGTTTCAAATCACTTCATCAACTCTAAGCTGAGTTATCGCATGTAAAAGTTTCTTCATCTTATGAAAATCACAACGGCGGCCAAAAACATTTATCATTGGACAATCATAACAATACCTATAATTGAGGAATCGGTTTGAAAATTCCATTAGCTCTGAATCAAACGTAACATCATATTTCTACCTATTTTGGGGCTTTCAAGTTCCATATGTCTAAAGATACACCCGCTTTTATTAGACTGGGTAATTGTGCGCCACTCTGTATATTAAAATTACGTTTTCAAACATTTAGATCAAAAGACCAATCAACTATTGAATCTCAAAACTAAATTTCTATTCGAAACATATCACTCAAAAACTCATCTAATCTAAATACCATTTCAGCCTGCGGACACACTTTCTGCCTCACATGCCTCGAAAGCATGAAAGAGACATACTTCAGAACACAAATCAGATGCCCAACTGATAGAAAATACATGTATTGCAAGGATGGAGATCTCAAGAAGCTTCCTATCAATTATCTAGCTCTTCACATGTGAATTCTCAATCTCGAGATCTTCTTCTTTTTCTTCCTAATGTGCAATCCACCCGTTCCATGCCCCGACTCAACCAAATCCTCACAACCCATTCGCCAAGCTTTTTCATTCCCCTTTCTGAGATTTGCCCCAAATGCTTGTTTGAAATACTAAGTTCATTCCTGTTTCTACGATTTCTTTTTTAAATCCCAAAATTGCCTTTTCCATTCCATCGAGTTTCATTTTCATGGAAACCAACTTCCCCTTTAGATTCGAGCTCTCATAATAATTGTTGCGGTATTTTTTCTTATTTTTTTGAAACCTTTGATTGACAAAATTAATGAAACTGCTTACAAAACTAAGATATGTATTGTAAAATTTTCAGAACAAATACAGTAATCCTTTTTTGCCATGAGGTCAGATCTCCAAAAGTCAATAATTCTTCATGTGTTCTCTCTTCCTTCCCAAGATTGGGCTCAGTAACATCTGCTATTGCATGTTTGCTCTATTGTTTTGCCGAATTTCGAATACTAGAAACGTTCTTGTCGTCGTTGATTTGTCTTTGACCAATTCTCGTATCGTATTGTACTTTTTTTTCCAAAGACCTCTTAAATTTAATTTCTTTTTATTTCAGGTAATGGCACCAAAACGTAAAAGTGCTCGAATTGCAGCACATGCTGCTGTTCCGAAGGCTAGTTATAAAACTAGGGAAAATGCGGAAATCGCGAAATTGAAGAGGCAACTAGCAAGAAACAAGACGGAATCCACGAATAAATTGAACCAAGCTATCTCCGATTTGAAGTTTGAGAAAGATGAGGTACAGCGAAACAAAATGAAACATCAACTGGAATTAGAAAATAAAGAGGAGGAAATTGCCTCACTGAAAACTGATATACCGGCATTGAAAAACGAAATTAAAGATTTCAAGAATTGCAAGAATACGAAAAAAGCAATGGAAAAGATGCAGGCAGAGTACGAAAAGTCAGAAAATAGCCGTAAGAGAATGTTGGAAGCACAATCGCTTCTGCGAGCTGAGCAAGAGAAAAAGTTCAAAGAGGCCAAGCCATGGAGACAGCGTGAGATTTGTACAGAGGAGTTCACCGATACCGTCGAACGCTCTCCACGTATTATGTGTAAGTGTTTTTGAAATTTTTGAAACCAAAAAGATGGGTTAGGATTTGTAACATACCGTTTGGAATTATGAAATGTGATCCTCTTCATTAAAAATACGAGTTCTATGTATAGGGTGCCGCATAATTACTCGGAATAAAGTTTGTACCGGTATACAATCTTCAATAAAGCGTTATACTGTGCCTCAATTCGAATTGCAAAAATTCAAATAATTCATCAAAAAACTGGCCGAGTTTAAAACTATTTTATCAACTTTGAGCTGAGTTATTGCTTATCAAAAAGGCTTCATCTCGTAGAAATCACACTGGCGTGCATGAAAAAATTCATCTTTGGACAATCATAACAAAACCTAGACTTGAGGAATCTCTTTGAAAATTTCAATAGCTTAGCATAAAACGTAAACTATATTTCTTCCAATTTTCGTGCTACCAAGATACTTATGTCTAAAGCTATAGCCGTTTTTGTCAGTCCGTGTAAATGTGCGCCACCCTGTATATTTAATTTACGTTTTCAAACTCATAGGTCATAACAGCAATCAACTATTGAGTCTCAAAACTAAATTTCTATTAGAAACATCATTCTTATAATTAAGCTTTCCATCTCGGGCGAATTTCACCCGCCTCACCCGCCCGGGTGTGGCGCCCGCCCGACGCCCTATATTGTGAAACGCCCGAATTGAATTTCATGTATTGTTTTGCGCCAAAAAGTATTTCAAAAAGTGTGGTGCGCGTTTAATCAGCGTGACATAATTTTGTTGGACCACGAAACGGTATAGGACGGGTGTAGGGCGGGTGTAGGCCGTTTTTGGGCGACCCGCCCGAGATGGGAAGCTTACTTATAATAAATAGATAAAGTTGCGTCTTTTTCTCGGTTTGTTAATTTGTTTGTCCGCACATTTGAAATGCTTAAAAATTGAATATAAATTGACGTGATCTTTTTAAAAAAGTGAGGAGCGGAGCGACAAACAAAATAAATAGTTATATCGCGCCGGAGGCGCATCAGCCTGGTGTTTGAAGGGTATTTATTTCAAAATCTCATACGTTATCTTATTTTCCATTTCAGCCTGCGGACACACTTTCTGCTTCACGTGCCTTGAAAGCATGAAACCGGGACTATTTATCTTCAGAACACAAATCAGATGCCCAACTGATAGAAAATACATGTATTGCGAAGATGGAGATATTTCGAAGCTTCCCATCAACTATCTAGCTCTTCACATGTGAATTCTGCATCTTAAGATCCTTCTTCTCAATGTACAATCCACCCGTTCCATGCCCGACCGATCAAATCCTCACAACCCATTCACCAAACTTTTTCATGTCCCTTTCTGAGGTTTCTCCGATTCTTGTTTCGAAATTCGAAGTTCATTCCTGTTACTATGATTTCTTTTTTAAATCCCAAAATTGCCTTTTTCATTCCATTGAGTTTCCATCAGATTCGATGCTCTCATCATATTTTTGGCCGTATTTTTGTTTTCCTTTGAAACATTTGATTTACAAAATGAATAACAATGCTCAAAATACTAATATACGATATTATACGATATTCTAGAAGTTTCAGAATAATTAAAACAAACTTAAAAAAGGTAGTCACCAGAAATTATGGTCTTATCAGCCGGACGCATTTGTCAGCACGCGACCTTCGATCTTTCGATTTGGACTGTCGTCATGTATAAATTGAAAGATCACACTTGCCAAAATTTACAAAATTAATGTATCTTCAAGCTTCCGTATTCACCCTCACCTTCTGTTTTCTTTTGGCATCATGCCAACTGAGTACGGTAACTGACGGTCCATGTATGGATGACCCAACTACCGATTGTCAGGATTATGCAGCGCTGTGCAAGAATCCAATGTATCAGAACTTTTTGGATGTTTTCTGCCCAAAAACCTGTGGGCTGTGCCCTGGAGGTGCTACTGTTGTCCCTCCAACTCCTCCCGGTAATTGTGTTGATAACAACATGAAGTGAGTTTTAGATTAAAAAAATGAAATTAAATGCATCCTCGTCTTCTTGAAAATTTTGCTGGGTCTATAAATTTTTTAGATTCCGTAAAACCTGTAATAGAAAAGCCTTCCAACTTTTAAATTTGAGCCAATTTTTCCGGGTTCCTGTCAAAGGTATAAAAAAGTAGTCAACTGATAAATTGTTTATCAGAATTTCAGAAGTTTTTGTCAGCTGACCACTTTTTGATATCCTTCCCAGGACCCGAGATAATTGAGTTCAAACTTGACAGTGTGGGGGCCCTTCTGTTACAAATTTTACGGCACTTCGATTCTTCCATAATTCAGTACAGATTTTCAGTGCTCCAAATAAAGTTTCGCTATCTTTCATAACTTTATAAACTCCAAAACTGGCGATGACCGAAATTTCGAGTGTCGTAATAAGTAAAGTACATACAATTTCCGTCAGTATCAGAATATCAACTGAAAAACTCAGAAAAATGTTTTATCGAAAAATCGAGAAAACAAAAATCCACAAAATAAGACACCAGCTCGTATGATTTTCGAGAAAACCAAGGACCCGTTTTCCATGAATTTTTTTTCAGGAATTACCGTAAACCCTGTATTAGAATGTCCTTAACACTTTTGGTCCCCAATTTATCTCGGGTCCTGGGAAGGATATCAAAAAGTGGTCAACTGACGAAACACTTCTGATATTCTGATAAACAATGTATGATTATTGGAAATTTGTTTTTTCAGTTGATTTTCTGATACTGACGGCAATTGTATGTACGTTATTTATTATGACACTCGAAATTTCGGTCATCGCCGGTTTTGGAGTTTTTAAAGTTTTAAAAGATAGCGAAACTTTATTTGAATCGCTGTATTAATCTGCACTGAATTATGGAAGATTCGAAGTGCCGTAAAACCTGTAATAGAAGGGCTCCCACAATGTCAAGTTTGAACTCAATTATCTCGGTTCCTATGAGAGATACCAAAAATGTGTCAACTGACAAAATGTTTTTCATATTATGATAAACAACTTTCGATAAATAACTTGTCGATATCTTACACAGAAATCAAGATAAATTGGCTCAAAATTGAAAGTTAGGGGCCCTTCTATAACAGGGTTTACGCCAATCTTTACAAAAAATTAAATTGTTATGTACTTCATTGAAAACCAAATATTTTCAGTTGCAAACAATGGGTGAAAGAAGGATACTGTACTGCTTGTTTTGTGGATTGTGCCGATCGAGTCAAGAACTGCGCGAAATCCTGTAAATTCTGCGTACCAGGATCTTGTTTGAATTGTAAATATCGGTCGAAATTTAATAGGATTTTCTTCGACTAAACTTTTGAAATTGTATAAAATCATTTCATAATTAAAGATTAAATTCAAATTCAAAATCATTTATCAACAAACCCTTACATGATGATATAAATTTTCAAGGTCAAATGAGCAACTCACTTATTCTTCCCTAAAAAAACGTCATAATTCTCAATGATTACAAAGAAAAGCGATTTATCTCTTATCACTTTTACAACCCCCTCAACCCCACCCAAGGAAACTGCTAATCCCCCGGTGCACCTATAAAAATCAAGTTTGAACTGCTGGTTCTTCATTCTGAAAACTATGATTCGTCATTCTCTTGTCTTCCTCATTTCCTTTACGATTTTGGTCTCCGGATCATTTTTTGAGGAGTCAACATGCGAAGATGATCCAACTATTGATTGCGCGTCATTCGAAGAAAAATGCGCCGACGAGACAATGGAACCATTGCTTAAAAAACTGTGTCCAGTCACCTGTAAATCCTGTCCATCGACTGTTTCTCCAACTACCGCGGCTCCATGTGAAGATGCACCCGGATCCAATTGTGCGGATTTCAAAAACCTCTGCAGCAATGCGAAATATGTTCCAATGCTAAAACAATTCTGTCCAGTCACTTGTAACATGTGTCCAGGGGCCACCACAGTTTCTCCACCAACACCAAGCCCGAATTGTCACGATAACGAATCACAGTGAGTAGAGGACTTCTAGAGTTCATTGAACCAAATAGGAATCTATTTTTAGGTGCAAAGCATGGAAGAAAAATGGATATTGCGAACAAACATTTTATTCTTGTGCCGAAAGGACTAAAATGTGTGCAAAGACATGCGGATTCTGTACACCTGGATCGTGCAAGAGTTAATTGTTTTGCTTTCTATAAAGATTTGAAACTTCGAATAAAGTTAAAAACTTTTTAATCATACTTTTTCATTATTTTCCAACTTCTGACTGAAATCTGACCATGGCCTGCTCTACAGCCGTTTTTGGCAGGGTTGCAACCGGCCGGGCCGGGCCGGGCCGGGCCGGGCCGAGATTATTTTTTCTCCGGCCCGGCCCGGCCGGTTCGGCCGGTTTGGTCCGTTCGAATTTAAGAAAAAACAGAAATTATTGAAGAATTATTTGAATTATTGAAGAATTATTTGAAAAATCTGAAAATAATTACCGTAAAATCTGTATTGATATTGCATGCAAGTCTATTGTTCAAGTCACCTCAAGGGGTGCAACTCTATTAGAGGGGCAATTCAAATAGAGGCTGCAATTCTATTTTTCAAACTACGAAAATTTTGAAAAAAAAAGTTTTATTATGAAAATCAACAAAAAAGTAACAAATTGAACACAACAAAAGGAAAATATTCAAAAAATTGAGGCGTCACTGTCATAGTTATTGTCTTCTTCCTCGGCATGGTTCATTTCTCCATCGTCTTCCTCTTTTTCAATATCTCCCAAAATCTCCTGAATTTCTTCCATTTCTCGTTCTGCTCGTCTTGTCTTCAATAACTGTACGCCTTCTGGAATTTCTCCATCTTTCTTGAAACAATGAATTGCCTCATCATCTTCGCCATTTCTTCCATTTTTTAATCCGCATCCTTTGAATGATCTTACAATGTATTCCTTCGGGATATTTTCCCACGCCAATTGAATCCATTTCAAATAAACTTCCATACTGGGATCACGCATATTTCCCGCCGGGGTGAACGATTTCGTTCCATGAACCATCCAATCTTCGTACTCTTTTCTGATGAAAGATTTAAACATTGCGTTCCAATATACATCTGGAGCCTGAAAAATCGGGTCACGCAAAGTTTTAATAAAATCTACTCACTTGTAAGAATTTTGTGCATCCTCCAGGAATCACCGCAGTGTCTAGTCTCAGTTGTTTCAATACTTTTTTAGTGTCTGTACTGATGTGGCAACGGTAAGAGTCCCATACTAACAACCTTTTTCCGAACATTGAGTGACCGAGAACTTTTTCAAGAAAAGTTTTTGTGATTTCATCGTTGAAAAATGTTCTGTCACACCAAACCAACTGCAAAGTTTTTCTAAATGTTTCCTCAATACTTTGCACTGGTCTTTTTCTTGGAAGAAGTACAAAAGGTTTGCACTTAAAACCGTCTGATCGAGCGCACAGCATTACTGTAACATGCAATTTCTCGTGTCCCGTGGTTTTCACTGAAACCTGAAATTGAAACGTTTAGCTTGTTATTTTTGAGTGTGCTGACTTGTTTAGATCCTCGATCCGCTACAGTCAAACTATTCGAACAATCCAGATAAACCGCCGTCTCATCACATGCGAAAATTTTGTCATAATTATTCATGGTAATTAATCGTTCCACATAAAGGAGAAAGTCAATAATTTTCTCCACATAAAACTCTGGCGGTTTTTGACAGACTGTTGTAGCACGTCTACTCGAAAATCCATGCCGCTTCAAAAAAGAAACCAGCCATCCATTCGAGAACTGCAACATTTAATGTTTATTCTCAAGTAGGTAATCTGTTTTCAAACCTTCATATCACTATTTGAAATAGACTTGGCGTGATTCTGGATTCCAATACGAGTAATACGAAGCTTTTTTTCTCTTTGTCTCGGACCCATTCCGCAAGTTTAGTATCAAAATCTTTATCATTCACTTTACGCCCTGCGCCATCAAGCCGTTTTTTCTTTTTTCCATTTTCAGCGATTGTTGCTATTATTTTTTCTTTCTGAGCTCTCCATTGTTGCACATTTTGTCTTGAAACTCCAAATTTCTTAGCTGCTTCCGTGTTATTTTTTGATTCTGCCCATTTCACCACCGTAAGCTTGTAATCCAAGGGGTGGGCTCCACGCTTTCTCTTTCTAGAGTTTCCACCAACTTTTTCAACGTCTTCCACGTCTTCCACGTTTTCCACGTCTTCCACGTTTTCCACGTCTTCCACGTCTTCCACGTTTTCCACGTCTTCCACGTCTTCTACGTTTTCCACGTCTTCGAGGACTTCTTCAGAACTCATTGCTCGTGTTGCTCGCTTCAATAAATGGAAAATATTGTTAAAAAAACAAAGAAAAATAAAAATAAATCAGAAATTAAGTAGGTAGTTTAAAAAAAAAAGAAATTCGAAAAACAACTGTGCAATTGTTCGTCACGGTGTCACAGACTAAAAATTGCACAGTACTCCCGGCGGAGCCGCAATTCTGCTGGAGATGCAATTGTATTACGGGGGCAATTCAATTAAAGGCTGCAAGTCTATTTTTCAAGTGCCCTCAAGGGGTGCAAGTCTATTAGAGGGGCAATTCAAATAGAGGCGCAATATCAATACAGATTTTACGGTATTTTATGAAAAATAGGGATTATCAGGCAATTCGCGACAAAAAAAGGAGAAAAATCGGTTGATAATCGGAGCATCGTTGCAAATAAAAATGGCGCGCGTTCAAATATTAATTAATTGCCGGCCGGCCGGGCCGGGCCCTGGTTTTTTTCCCTGGGGCCGGCCCGCCGGCCAGCCCGTCAGATTGCAACCCTGGTTTTTGGAAAAGCTCCGGACAGAACATGTCTATATCCGTCCAAAAGCACCCCTCATTTTCTTACCAGGAATTATGTACAAGCCGACAGCCAAGAAAAAGCGTAATACGGAAAAAGTGGTTTTGAAAACTCCGACTACCGACTTCCTTCTGAAAAAAAAACACTTCCGGCTTTCGAGTTTAATAACTTCACTTCCTGACATCTCTGATCCATTAGTTGTCGATTTTCTGAAAATTGGAACAAGAGTTACAGATTTTTCAAGTGTGGGGGAGTAAAGGAGATTTGGTTTTGTGGGCGAAGCCTCGTAAGTTAATACGAGCGTCGTCTCATGTGCCAGATTTTTTTCAACTCGATAACAGAATATTGTGAATCTCCCTAGACTTCATTACCAATCCTCATCGGCCTGATAGAATCAAAGTACTGATGAATCTGGAACTAGTTCTTCCAACTGAACATTTTCTAGAAGTCCAGCAAACTCCCAACAACTCGTCGACATCTTGACAATTGACAAATAAAACGATTTTCTGAAAATTTTCCGATAATCTCGTTTTGGACACCAAACAGATTTGCAATGCGGATTTAAAAAAAAATGGAAATCCAAGAAATTTTTCGAAGCATTCTTTCCAGGCGAGTGATCAAACGAAGCCAGGGAACTTTATCGGGGATTTGGAACAAATCTAGAAAACTGAACCTGCTAAAGTTTAAGCTACCATGTAAAAAAATTCGCCATGTGAATATCTGGTCATTTCTAAGTCATAAAAGTTGTTGTCCCAAAAAACTCAACTTGCGAAATGAAGACCGTCAAACGCAAAAACCATGACAGATGACTTAGAAAACACATCGGATGCAAGTCAGACCGTTTCTGGGCCATAAACTATGGTGGCCTAGAAAAATCATGTTGAGAAAGGTTAGCCACTCTCGAAACTTTGTAACTATGTTCTACGTCTTCTAGATCTTTCTGTTTGGGCTATCAAGAACGCTTCTATTACCTCCAACTTTGAGTGTTTGGTCTTACAATTAGAGCAACACACAAAAATTTCAATTCAAATTTCAAATTTCAAATTCAAATTCCCAGATGCACCGTTTGTACGTTATCACTACCCTCACGTTTTTGAGAACAATGATATTAGAGTAAGCAGTGGAAACAAGGCGTCTACCAGATGATAGTGGTGTACCTGGTTTTTTTTTCGAAATTGCGAATCCTGAGTTTATTAGTAATAACCTTTTTCTCATTTCAGAATGAAAATGAAGCTGCAAATTCTGATTCTCGTGGTTCTCTTTGGATTCATTAGTTCGGACAATGATGATTGCAAAGATACAAGTGACAAGTAGGTTTATAAGAAATTTTAAATTTTGAGCTAATTCAACCCTGAAACAAGTTCCAGGTGCGCTGGATGGGCAAGCCAAGGATTCTGTACCAATTGTTTCTATACATGTGAAGTTCGAATCAAATACTGCCAAAAAACTTGCGAGTACTGTACCGGGCAAAAAACCTGTGAGAATTGTACAGTAACCACGACAACATTGCCACCTTCTACTACCACCATTAAGTGTGCAGATTATGGAGACTTGTGAGTTGTTTTTCAATTTTCATTCTCTAAAAATTTGATTATTTACAGTTGCAAAGATTGGGCAAAAAATGGGTTCTGCGATAACAACCTCTACCCATGCAGCTATCGTATGAAGTATTGTGCCAAGACTTGTGGACTATGTGCTCCAGGAGCTTGCCCGAACTGAAAATAATATTTGAATTGAATATGTGATGATGAAAATTTGATGAACAAACAAATGAATATTTTATCTTGTAACGACTTTGTAAAATTTCAAGCCCATAGGATACTCAATGTGTTACCCATGGCTAAGTTTCCACTTTAAGGTAGTTTTTCTTGGTTCCTGTGAAAGATATGACAAAGTTCAATTAGCAAAATGTTCATCATAATAACAAACATATTTGGTTAGTTGGCCCCTTGTTGATATCTTTTACAGGTACCGTGATATTTATGCTCAACGTTGACGCTTGGGCGGCCTTCTATGAGAGCAAATACGGTAATTATTCCTTTCTTTCAGTTTAACAAATTAGAACAAAAAAGGTTTGAAAAACATTCAGACAAATTAATAAACCCTCAATCCATCATACGGATTCAAAAACTTTAATAAAGATGTCGAAATCTGATTTCGTTTTGTATGGTCCCCCACACTTGAAAAATCTGTAACTCTTGTTCCAATTTTCAGAAAATCGACAACTAATGGATCAGAGATGTCAGGAAGTGAAGTTATTAAACTCTGAGGTTCTCTTTTATTTTGTTTCTATGGTATTATTTCATTTTGTATGTACTATATACACTAGACGACCTCCTAAAAATCTTTCCGTTTAAAGTTACGACTTTCAGTACATTTCCAGTGAATAATATGCCGAAAATAGAAAACTTGACAGAAATGCGCTACACCACTTTTTCAAGGAAACTTTGTGAAGATTATCCTGAATTTTTCACAAAATTCTCCGAAATTTTTAAATAAAAATCTCTCATAAATGACCCTGGAAAAATGGAAGGGATCAAGTTATGTTTTACAAGCACCCTCCGGAGGTTTCTCGGAATAAGAGAAGAGCCGGCCGTTCTATAGGGTGGCGCATAATTACCTGGACTGAAGTGTTGGACTGGGCTCAAATTTGGAGTGCATAAACTCAAATAATTCATCAAAAAATAACCAAGTTTTAAATTATTCGATTTATTTTGAGCTGATTTATCGGTTTTCAAAGTTGCCTCACCTCTGGAAAATTACACGTCCACCTTTGAACAATCATCTAGACTTGAGGTATCGCTTTTTTTTTACTCCAACTCAACCCACAGGAAGCGTAGGAGGAGGATGTATTTCCGATTCAAAACTTCCTCTCCTCATGATTTATTTTCTTCCATACTAAAAAAATGTATGCCAGTCACAAACTGTACGAACATTGATAACAATCGAATCGACCGCAAAGATCATTTGGTAATCCTCAAAAACTACACAAAACAGTACTGTCAATTCAACCCTCCACCTACTTTTTTTGTTGAGTGATAATCAAAAATCTGATTGTACCGAAAATTATAATCCTCTTATATTTTTGTAAGTGCTATACGCCTTTCTTTGTCTTCAGACTCCGCCCGTGACGTGATTTTTTTGCATGAATTGAAAATAGTATATAATAGGAAACTTGACCTAAGTTTCAACTGCTCAAAAAAACCATGAAGGTGTTTCTTGTACTTCTTTTCGCCATTGTAGCCGTTTTTGCCAAACCACAACACCCTCAATTGCTTTTCAATACCAATCATTTAGCTAATAATTGTACGGACGTTGGAACTAAGTAAGTTGTCTTTGAAATCCAGTTCAAGCTTGAAATAATCATTTTTTCAAAAATTTCAGTTGCCTAAACTGGGCTCGAAACGGATTCTGTACCAACTGCAACTGGACTTGTGAACAACGTCGTCATTATTGTGAGAGAACTTGTGGATTCTGTCATCCGGACTACAAATGCAATGAGACTTGTACAACGTGGCCACCAATGGAGGCAAAGTCCGAAGTGTTGACTGAGGAGGAGATTCAGACGTTGAATCAGTAGAAGATAACGTTTTTTGAGAGCGCAATAATGTCATTTTTAATGGTTATTTATGTGACATGTATCGATATGTTCCTGAATAAATTGTGATAGTGAAATTAATTGAGACGATTAGATCAATTAAATTTAGATCAATTATGTTTTTCGGATTAGATCGGATTAGATCAATTAAAGTAATGTTCATGAGCATCGATAGTTGTCTGGTAACGCTCAAGTAATTTCTTGATTTCATCGGCCCAGAACGACGAGGGCTGCGATTGAATAGTGGGTCAACTCCTATTTGGTGTCATCTTTTCAATTGAAGTTTTTTCTATGAAGATGACGTTTAAGAGCTTCAAATGACCATTTTTCCGAGAAAGCAAGGTCCGTAAAATACGACGGATGCAAAACAATAGTTCAGCCAAGTGACCTGTTTTTTTTTTGCTGATCGCTCTAGTCAGGGGCGTTCTCGCATTGTCGCGCTGGAAGTAGTTCTTAGTCTTGCTCCCTGTTTTGGTTTGACTACCGGATTTAATTTTTCCTATCGTGCGGTACAAGGTGGCAGTTGTAGTGGGACCTTCATCTAAAAGTTCCCAGTCTCGTCTTCTTAAACAGACCACCAAAGCCCTAGCATACCCTTTTTCACGAAAAATTTAGGTTTCGGAATGTCCAGAGCTAGCTATTCTTTGTCAATCAACTGACTCTTCCGCACATTGTTAGAGTAACTGACCCACTTCCCATCTACAGTAATTAGGTTATCCAGCCAACTGACCGTGAGGAGAAATTATAGGAGAAACATGCTCATGCCTGTTCGGCGATCTATATAGTAGCTTTTCAAAAAATGGGGTACGAACCATTCAATTTTTGACATTGCCAAGGGACTTCAATTCGTTCACAATATTTGGTTGACTAACGGGCAATGCCTATAACATTTCACAAGTTGTTTGAAACGGATTGGTTGAAATAGTATTCTTCAATAGGTTCAAATCCAACTTTCGGACCGCTTTTCGTCTTCCGATTCTAATTTTTTGGCTTCAAATTTATCGGTCCAATGCTTGATGGTATAGACAAGAGGAGATCCTTCTTTATCTATTTCTTTCAATTTCTTGTAAAAAAACAGGCGGCATTCTCGCGAACGATATTAACTTGGCATAAGCCAAGGTGTGTGTAACAAGTCCGTGAGACACTCTATTCAACAGAAAAACATCGGTCAGCAAAAATTATCCCACTGACCAGATATGAACTTTCAAAGTTCAGCATTCAAAATCGGAAGACAATTGCATTTACATTTACATTTATTTATATTTCAACGAAGGGGAGAAAACCACTAACACGTGAAATGTCTATGAAACTAGGAGATATAACAGGGACATACATTTGTATTAAATGGGAGATGGAGGAAAAACCGAGTTAGTAATTAGTTGAATTCAAGACAAGAAAATGTTTTAGATCTCAGGATAATAGTCGATTTTTGAAAGCCGCTGACGAGGGCTTCACCGGAAACACTTTGGCGGGTAAAGAGTTCCAACATCTGATTACTCTATTAGAGAGAAATTGAGAAGATATTTTTGTTCAGTTTTTGATAAGTGATTTGAGATAGTATTTGTGACGTCGCAATGATCCAGCATGATTAAATATTTCGAAAATTGGAACCTCCATGATAATTTCTTTGGAAACATTAATTTTATACGTGTAGACCAAATCATTATAGAGCCTGCGATACTCCAAGGAACTTAGCTGACATTCTTCCAGTGCTTCAAAGTATGAAGTGTATGCCATCCTGAATTTTTTGAAAATTCTGAAAACAAATGACTTTTGCACCGATTCCAATTTTATAATATGATGTTATATCTTTTAGGATTGGAGAAGTGACTATCGTTCCATATTCGAGTAAAGGGCGTATGTCTCTCAATTTCTCTCTAATAGAGTGTGTTTCCGGTGAAGCCGTCGTCAGCGGCTTTCAAAAATCGACTATTATCCTGAGATCTAAAACATTTTCTTGTCTTGAATTCAACTAATTACTAACTCGGTTTTTCCTCCATCTCCCATTTAATACAAATGTATGTCCCTGTTATATCTCCTAGTTTCATAGACATTTCACGTGTTAGTGGTTTTCTCCCCTTCGTTGAAATAAATAAATAAATAAATAAAACTTTCGAATCAAAGCTTGATTTAATTTGGGATTCATAACATTGGAGTTGGCATATTTTCTTGTTGCATTGAATTTGATGTATTCGCACTTTTTAGGAGCCGCTTTCATTTTCCACTTCGAGCACCAATTCTCCAATTCAATTAAATCTGCATCAATCAATCTGTCATTCGTATCATAAATTTTCAAGTCATCTGCAAACAGTAGATAGTCACTTTGAAATTTGTCACCAATACAATTAATATATAACAAGAAGAGGGTAGGCCCAAGAACAGAGCCCTGCGGGACTCCGGACAATACGCGCCTCTCCTTCGATAGTATATCATTGATTTTGACTTGAAATTTTCTGTCCGTGACAAATGAATGAAGCCAATTTCTTAGTTTGGGAGATATCCCAAAGCTTTCCAACTTATGAATCAATTTGTTTATCGGCACTGTATCGAAGGCCCTCTGGAGATCAATATAGACGCTATGGGTATCTAACTCATATAAAGAATTGAAAACAAGCTTATTCTGGTAAGCTTGCCAACCTAATAATTGTATTTTTTTTCACAATCATTATAATTCATTATTTGAAATAACACCTCAGGTAATTCTCGGGAGAGGTTTGGGCCGAACTGAGGCGGGGTGGGTGTTTCCCACGAATTTTAGGAGTTACCCAGTCCAAATGGGAGTTACCCAGTCCAAATGGGAGTTACCCAGACTATATGGGAGTCACCCAGCCCAAATGGGATTTACCCACAATGGGGGCAATATGGGGCTAACAGGGAAATTGTGAAGTACAGTTTCTCCCTTCTCACAAACGGGGAGAAAATGGGAATGTGGGGAGAAAATGGGAATTTCTCTGTCGACTGGAAAGAGGGAAACGGGGGTAGATGGGGGTGAAATGGGAGCTTTATGGTGGCTAAATGGGGAGCGCCAACAGAGTATACTGACGCAAGCGGATCCTTGAGGACGCAAAAAAAATTTTCGAAGTTTTTTTTTTTTTTTTTAATATACTTATATTCCTTTTTTCTGGATCCATCGGGTTCAAAAAGACTAACAGAGGTTTCCACACCACTTGTGAGTGTTCTCTATTGTTTCTAGCAAGGATTACTTAATGTTCAGAACTCTTACAAGTAAAAGAAATACAATGAAGATGATGAATAGTCGGTTCCAATGAAACCTGAAGGAGAAAGCTCAACGAATCATAAAAGAAAAAATAAGATAATGTAAGTTTCATAAAAGTTTGCTACAAATTTAATCTGGTTTCTTTTGCAGAAAATAAAACGAGCTAAAACCAGAGAGGATCAAAATTTCAACGATAAATACATTGTTTCTCTATTCCCAATTTTTCCTCCATCTTTTTGACTTGTGTATTTTTTTTCTGTGTGCGGTCTTGGTCTGCTGTTCATCTATTGTAATTCCTTTTTTGCAATTTTTCAATCAATAAATTAAATTTTATGGAGCGTATTTCGTTTGTTGATTTGGGGTCTAGATGGGGTCTATATGGGGATTTCCCGCGCGTTCCCCGGCTGCATAAACAGGAGTTACCCGAGAAGAGAAGCAGACAGAGATGGCTATTGGATCCTATACAAATGGCGTCAAAGCAGTCAGAGCTGGATATAGCTGATCCTCTTCCTCGTAAGTGCTTATCAGTTCTTTCATAAAAAGACCACGCATTGATAAGTAGTTCTCTTCCATAAAATCTATATGCGGATGACATAGTACGTCCAACCATGTAACAGTCCATCGATTGGTACATCCGACGTTCTGAAAGAACACATTTTTTATAAAGTTTATTGTGGTTACTCACAAATTGGATTCCCATTTTAAAATCGAAATCGTAAGTTAGAGCTGTTTCATTTGCACCGGGATGCAATCTCATTGTAACTCTGGCTGTTATTCCGGCATCGTTTGCTTCAACACTTGAACCTTTATATAATCTTT